TGTTTCCTCTCTGCGTTTTCCCTGATTTCTGTTGCTGTCTCCAGGACGTGACAGGAGTGCTGACTGGATTTTGTGTCAGTGGTTTTGTTGTGGACAGGCCAGAAAGGACTGTTTCTGTTACCTGACCCGACTCCTTCTTCTGGAGAGGTTCGGGAGAGGTAGGGGTGCTTCCTGTGGAGCTGTGCAGGGCTGGTCTAGTCTGCAGAGATGATGGTTTTATTCCTCGCAGTGCTGTCCCAGACTGTGCAATGAGGCTGTTACAGTGCTGTGTAGCATCAAGAAGTCCTTGGCTTGTGTTGCGAAAGAGTATCACTGACTGATCCCTTCCCCACCCTAACCCCACTCTCTGTCCAGCAGGCTGACGAGAGGATGATGGGAAGAAGGCTGTACCAGCATGGCTCCCTCTGGTACAGCCATGTCCCAGCCCAGTGTGGTCCCAGGAGGGGAGAGCGAGTGAGGATGAAGAGGAGGATGAGGAAGATGGTTTCTTACTCTCCCTGGCAGAGTATGAGTGGGTGTCAGCACTGCAGGACATGGAGCTCTGCACCAACAGCCCAACTAGGCAAGTTACCCCAATGGGGATGTTGGGGTAGCCGATGTATAAAGAGAGAAGAGGAGTTTGAGAACAACTTAGAAGCTTAGCTTCTCATTTGTTAGGCTAAGCAACCCTGGAGCAATGCGCATTGGGTACTGGGTAACTATGATTCCAATATGCACAGCTCATGTGCTTGCATTGCAGCTTCTCTATGAGCACCTCACAGAATACCCTTATTTTCACATTAGTTAGCCAAGAAAGTGTCTGATCTCTGATATCTGATGTCTTTTGTCACTGCTGCAGCTGCGCCCTAGACAGTCATGCTTACCAAGACCTACAGCAGCTTGTTCATCAAATAAAAGACAGACGGGAGTATTAGATCTTAGGGGAGGGGTGGGGAGGGGTTTACTGTTGATCTCGAGCACCTTCAGTATGCCAGAGATTAAGCAAGTGTGAGAGCCTGGAAGTCTGTCAGGCAGAAGGTTCTCCTGGGTCCAACTGCAGCTGGCATGCTTGTGTGAGGAGCACTCAAACGGTGTTCAAAATCCAACTGTTACAGCCCTTCTCCAGGACGGCTGATTCGGCTTGCTTTGCCCGAACTCTTGCACTTCGCCCTGGCCGCCCGACGAACGGCCTTTCTGGTCTGAGCGAGACTGGAATGGGGAAGAGATGCCGTGAAGACCAGTCAAGGAGAAATCTCAAGCAGGGGGAGAGACGCCGGCGACCTCTGGGTGAACGCGGCCGAGCCGCTGCTGGGTGGGCAGCATGGCTGGGAAGCAGCGCTGAAGGAAGAGCGGTGTTCTAATTGGCAATCACTGCACGAGCACGGGTCTCCCGCCCCCTCGCTGTAGGGACGTGGCTCAGGTTTGGTCAGCGTGACTGGCCAGGCTGATGAGCCCTACGGGGAAGGGTGGGAAAAAAAGTGCAAATTGACTGAAATGCGCTAACTTGCCACTTGTCGGAGGGGAGCTAGGCCAGCTCGCCTGTCTGTGCTGTCCTGCTAGCTAGCTCAGCTGGGTGCTAATGTGTTGCAAACTCCATCCCCTCTGGCTGACACGCTGGGGCACAGCTTGTGGTCATTTGAGGCAGGAAAGCAAACGGCGACGCATCTGTGAGCGGAGGGGCTCTGCTCTCCAGTCACTGGCTGCAGCTCTCGTGTGCCAGACGTACTGAGTAGACGTACCGCGTCTTGCTTTTAAAGCAGCGTCGGAGTTAACGGAACCACCTCGTCCTTTTCCTCTGCTGGACTGATGATCCACAGGCCGCTCTCCGTGGGCGCCTATAGAGCCGCTGTGTCCTTCCCACTCAACGAGGGAATGTCCGAACGGGAGCTCGCCGGGATGTCTCCCAACAGGACAGACCGCTTCTCCCTGTGATGACTCATAATGGTCACTGAACATCAGTGTCCGGTGCCCTAGACCTGCAGTACGTGCCCTAATGACATCAGGTCACAGGCTCAAGCCTTGTCCTCAAGAAACACTCTGTCCCCACCCTGCACGCCACAGCCTTCAGGCCTGACCTCCAGAATCCTATATTGTTTCAGTATTGAAAGAAATGCAATACCTGTACCTCCTGCATTAGAGACAGAGCGAGTATTGATCTTATTGCACTAGCTGCCGGTAAGCAGTGTTCTCTCTAGCATACTAAATGTTCAGCCTTTTTCCGGGGGCCAGATGCACGCTGTAAATTGCTCTTGCTCATCTCTCTTGTCTGAGCCCATTTCACCTAGCGAACGAGATGCTTGTCTTTCTTCTGGAGCGACGCTGTCTCCCACCCGTGCGCGATCGAGATGCTGTGTGGGGTAAGGTTCCGGTCTTGGCTAAATGAATCCATTTCCTGAGTGCGGCAGGATTATCTGGGAAGAAACCCAGATACCCCGGTACTGTCTTGAGTCTGGGATTCCAGTTCCGCTCCTGGCTGCCAGCAGGCAAAGCTAAGAGCTAGAAACCCCTTATATTCTCCCTCCCCCCCCCGCCTCAACTGCATCTTTAGTTAATTAGTTAATAAAATCCCTCTTTTTCTGGGAGGTGTGAAGAATGCCAATGGATCTGCCAGGCTGGAGCTCCCTTCCCATCCTCCAGTGGTTTTTAATGAACCCTTCCAAAAAAGCATGTAAAATAGGCGGATGGTTTGAAAACTGACATGCTCCCCTCCAGTCCTAACAGCATGATTGCTAGATCATAGTCACCGTAATAAAGCAAGCGTGGGGCTGCTCCTAAATACTGCCCTTTCTCCTCCAGTACCCAGCAGCCGGAAGCCCAGAGATCTGTGCCCTCTGGACAAAACAACAATGTCATCTGCTAGTGTACCCCAAGGGAGCTGCGAGAGCTCAGATGGCAAAGAGTGTCTAGCTCCTGACCGAACGGTCCCGGGTTCAATCGCAGGTAGAAGCGATGTGGCTCCCAGGTCCACTCAGCCTGCTCTCCAAATGAGTACCAGGGGTTAATCCTTCTGGGGGTAACAGGCCGGCCGGAGCGTGGGACCATCCACTCCCAGTGTTGGATGGTTGAGAAAAAATGGTGGCCTTTGCTCCCCATTCCCCCATGAGCCTCTATGGCCTGAAAAGGGGACCTAACCTACCTACTGTACCACAAGCCCCGCCCACCATTGACCTTGACTCCTCCCCCAGGGCCCCTTGACTTCACTACAGGCTCTCGGCCAGCAGGGGGCAGAGGTTGACCACGCCCATTACTCCAGCTTCCACTGAGACGCTGACCTGATTGGTTTGGTTTTAGAGAAATCCATATTACCGCTGTGATATATTTGTGTGCAGTTGTCTTGACTGATGGATTTTTTGCACTCAGCTGAGATTATTTTAGCATTTTGATCTATTTCGGCTTCAAAGTTATGTTTGTTATTTAATGGGATAATTAAAACCGAATTGAGGGCAGTTTGTGGGACCTTTTCCTGTGTGAGTGTAAAGAACTATTCGAGATCTGCAAGGGGATTTAGGAGTTGGCGTTTTTTACTGTTTCAGCATACTGTCGCCACTCCTGCTCTTCTTTATGAAGGGGCAAAGCTCTGATTTTCACTGGTGAGTACACTGACACTCAAAAGACATCAAATGCAAAATGGTGTTTTTTTTTCCTAAAACTAACACCTTTCAATACTTTTTGTTGCTATATTTATACAATGCCTGTGGGCACAAAGTTACCTTAACATTATTATTATTCTCTAAGGGCAGGTTCATGGTTAAGAAGCAAATTGGTCACTAAACAAGCTCACCTTTGGGGGTAATCTCTCTCACACAGGGGCAATTCTGGGACTATATCTGAGACTTATCCTTTTCCTCAGTCCATCTTCTATGAGGGCTCACAAGACCTTTTTGCTTTTCTGTTCCTGCATCTTCTGAAATCGCCTGTCCTGTTGAATGCTCATTATCTAAACAGGGATACTATTTCTGTATAACTCAAAATAGAGATCTGACTGGCTAGGTCTCCACTGTCACTAGTGCAGGAACGTGTTTTTTTTCATGCTTTAGGATAAGGGTTGTCAATTCCATTTAGGAATTCTTTGTAAATTGTAATACAGTTACATTATGTCTATATGTTCCTGGTCCAAACGGACCGGTAATCAATGTTCCCTCTACTTTTTGATGGCCTGTATGCGCAAACATTTCAAGTTGTGCAAATTTTTCCCCCTGTAACACAAAAACTTGTGCGCCCTAAATTGAGAGCATGTAAAATTGTAAACCTGAAATGATTTTTTGTGACTATAGTCATCCTCATAGAAGCATAGAGATCCAAAAGACGGGGACAGCGATTCATCGGGCCCAGTCATGGAGACTGAGTGCCGAGCATGAGCAGTGAGGTTCGAGAGCATAGATATCGATGATCGAGCAGCAATAATGTTGCGCACAGCCAAGCTGGGACTCTCTCAGGCAGTCTCATGTGGTCAATTTAGCATTCTTCAATTGAGGACCGTGTTTGTTTTATCATCATATTTTTTTATTTATTTAATTTTTTGTGTGCAGTTCAATGTCCTACGCGCGCTGATTTCATAACCTGTTTGCGTGTGCACCCACACACAGCAAAAGGGAACATTGCCCGTAATAACTAATTACATGTTTAATAACATAACAAATTGTTCTCTTTATTAAAGCCTCGTCAAGAGTCAACAGCTTGCACAGTATGCAATTCCAAGTGACATTTGCCATCCCTAAAATGGAGTGTTTCATTCAGAGCTTGACTGCTGTCTGATTGTGGTGCTGTTCGACACGGATCACATTTGTGTACTTAGGCCATGGAGAGCTGAGGCTCAGCAGGCAAATATCTATTTGGAGATATCCTGGAGTTGCATTACTGGTGAAATAGTGGCTGTCTAGGTCAGAATGTCTACATCTGTATAAATCTACTCATCATTGGCATAAAGTCTGGTTTTGAAAGAAGACAATCTGAACCCCATGAGATCTGGATTGCTGGCATTTTCCTGTTAGATAAAACTACACAGACATGAATTATAGGAATACACTTAAAAAAAAATCCTTTATTCACAGTGTAGGGTATATTCAGTTTACCATACCATTACAAATTGAGTGTAGTTTTTAAAGAAAAATGACAAAATCTCGGTTTTAACAAGCTACAGGGTGATTTCTTTATCCATAGGACAGTTAACAGCATTGAAAGGTACTATGCATCAAGTTGCAAAGCAGGATTTATTTTTTCCCGAAGCAACACAAGGCATAGGAAATACCATCTGCGATTGTGCGAAGAAACATTGAGTTCTCACAGGCTCTTCAAGATCTGTGGCCAAGAAGGACACCTGTCTAATCTGAGTCCATACACCCTGCGTGAACACAGGTGAGGTGGAGCACTCCAGTTTCACCAGCGTGCTTTAAAACAGCAGAGGATTTAAAACAGCAGTTGAACACGAAGTGTATTCAGTGTCACCCGCTGGCTTTTGGAGAGTGGCGTGCCCTGCATTTTTCAGGCATGCAAAATATGGGCTATGAACTTTAAACGTTTAAGGCTAAAGAGGTGCATCTTGCTTAACCTGGTAAAAATAGTCTGACCAGAGAATGATTTTGGGCTCGGATGAATAAATCACCTTGTGCATTGTTCCCTTGTGTCACTGCTGATATAATACCCCTGAAAAGAGTTTCAATTAATACTTTTAAATACACACACTACGTCGCACAAAGTGAAATGTTTTTTTTTTCTTAATACAGTCTTAAGGAGTAAACATTTTGCACTAAGCTTTGGTCCATTCGAATCTACTGCTGCTGGTCTTGTAGAGCACAGCGCTGGAACTGTGTGTCCTGCTGGGATTCTGCTGCCAGTGTTTTGGGGTGCCCGTCAGAAGATCCGTGTGCTGAATCAAGGAGAATCCAGGCAGGTCGGAGGAGCAGTCTGTGGAGGTAACAGCTGTTTCGGTCACAGTCTCCAGTGTGCCGAGGGGGAGAGGCGATGTTGAGGCCTTCTCCTCTGAGCTTGCGAGAGTGGGGGAGGGGCGATGGGACATGTGGTGAACTGTCACGCAATATCCCAGTGTCACACTGGCATGAAAACACGAGGTAAGGAAAAAGCAGGAGCACCCAGTCCTTTTCCGTGTGCCTCCGTCGTCTTCTGCTGCCGAAGTCCCAGTTTGTTCCACTTTTCCGTTACTGCCCAGTGCTCCGAAACTGGCATTGTGGTTGCTTCTGTGAGCAAGGTGCACTGACCTGCGGCTTTAGCACGCTTATAGCAAAGGTCCCAGAACTGCAGTGTCGAGCCCTGGCATCGAGCTACATGAAAACATTCAACACAGACAGGAAAAGCACTTCATTCTTTTTAAAAAAAAAAAATTATGTTCACAATCCAATCTAACAGGTGTTGTGCTAACTGATTTGCCCCAGTTTAGCGGGATAAGTGCAATCTCTCCCCGCGTGCAATCCAAAATCGATCCCAGTTGCTCACAGCAAAGAGAGCGTCCATTTCCACGGGCTTGCAGTTGAGAAGAGAGGACACAGGCTACAAGGCTCTGAAACTGAGCGTTGGTCTTGTTCATTCATTCGTGTCAGAACCACACAGGTTCAACCAGTATCCCCTGTCCATATCAAAACAGAAAGTTTGGCCCACTCTTCAGTGAGCAGCACAAACATCATATAGGTTATAAACGGATGTTTTTGAGCAACCTGTGAAAGTGTCCTTACAGCAACAGTGGCCTGTATGCATGAAGGGATTACGGCAAATCACTATTACCGACGTTAGTCTAGAAAGGAATAGCACTGCAAACAAAAGTCAAAATGCATTAGGTCTGTGCACATAGGGATTACTTTACAGATGCTTTGTGTACTGTATGTCATTCTTCATGAATGTGATGGCTCACATGGATGTTTATAGCCTGCACAAATTACAGTAAACTTGCACAAACGTGCTTCATGAATATAGACCACGTTCTATCCCAAGAGCAATGTTTAAATGTACCGTACCATCATCTCAATTGGACAGTACCAGGGGAGAGACTGCATCGTCCCTTAAAAGTGTCTTATTGCAGGGCATATAAGTAACACGGACTGGCTTTAAACCATAGTTACAAATAACGATTCACATATATGTGACTTGTACACACAGAGACAGCCCATCGTCAAGAGGGAGCTTAAGTGCTTCTGATTCTTAATCCACTCTGAGTACTCGTAATTGTCCATCAGTGTACTCCTCAGAAACCCACAGAGGGCACGCGTCTCTAGTGTTTTCTGAAACCTAGTTCTAATGTCTTTTGTTACAGAATTTCCGTTTTCTTGGCTTGTTGGCTCTGTCAGTTACAAATTTGGCTTTAACATCTATGGATCTAAAAATGAAGAAAACAGTCACTACACAATGATCTGCACAGCGTAGCCCACAGAGGGTTATTGTGGGGTCTTGCCTTTTGCCATCTTGAAAACAGACAACATGAAAGGATGGCTTCGAGATCAGAACTAAAATCACACAGAAGGAACGTGAACAATCTTTTCTCCTAGTTTCAACAGAGCAGCGGTGTTTGGCTTGTTTTATGTCAACGTGGTGGTCCGGGGGAGACAAGCATGCATAAGTGAGTGGTCACATAACACAGAAAGCCATTCAACATCAGGTGCAAGTGACAGGGTCACGCCCTCCCCGAGCTGCACGGCGAGCAGCCCGCCTGAGCCGAGCCCCAGGAACAGAGGCTCTCCGCGACACGGGGGGGCTGCATTTTACAATCGCGACGAGGTGAGGCCTCGGGCCATCGCCGGGACACCTCTCCGACGAGCAAGATGTGTCTCTCACCTCGCTTGGACCGGTGCACCCACGCCACCTGGGCTAACGAACCAAATGGTTCTTTTCCCTCTATGTAATTATAAATGAAATAGAATTAATGCTGCTTCAGAAAGGTTGGTTTTTTTTTTCTGGATCACTCCCGATAGCCCTTGGGAGATTTCGGATTGTAACCGAGGGGGGGGAAAAAAAAGACAAATACCGGGAAGCACCCATGACCTAACCAGTTTTTTTTTGTATTTCATATATACTGTACGGTACATAAATAAACTTCGGCCCTGAAAGCTCTACAGCCTATTCTTTTTTTGGCACCGCTCGGGGTCTGCTCTCGGCCCCCGCACTGCGGTGTGTGTGTCGTTCCTCCTCTGTGCCCCCCCCCCCTACACTGGGGTGGTCCTCCTGTTGGCGGGGTTGCTGTGCAGGGGGTCTTTGACGTCCTTGGGCATGGAGTTGTGCACCTGCAGGAACTCCCTGTCCGAGTTGAGCAGGGTGCCCACGGTGGCCTTGGAGGGGTCTCGGGACAGCGTGTACATGGAGATGTCGGTGGAGGAGGGGCCGGCGGCGAAGACCTTGCCGATGGGGGAGGCGTCGCGGGAGCGCGGCTCGGTGGAGCGGGAGCTGGAGCGCCGGCGGAAACGGTAGCGGTAGCTGGGGATGCGCCCGAAGGCGGACTTCTTGAGCAGCTCGGTGCGGGACTTGGCGCGGATCTGCCGGTGCTTCTCGATGAACATGTGCACGGCGATCACGCCCACCATCTCGGCGATGATGAAGGACAGCGCCCCGAAGTAGAAGGACCAGCCGTAGGAGTAGCTCTTCTTGGAGTCGCTCTGCCCCGGGTCGCCCGCGTTGGCGGATATGTACACGATGATCCCGATTATATTACTGAGGCCTGGGACACAGGAGGGGGAGGGGGGACATGGGGGTGGTTCCAGATGAGCAGCTGGGCTTCACCGCAGGCTATCAGACAAATCGGGGTCTGAAATAATACGTCAGGGTCTAAGCAGGTCAGCAAGACCTTTCACAGTGGGAGAACGAGATCCTTCCCTCACCTGCGTGACCTTCTGGACCATCAAGATGCCCAACAGTGATGTTCCAACGCTTTCACCTTTAAGAGTCACAGCTGCACTGATGAGGGGCCAAATACCTTCTAATAGGTTCTAACTTAATCCCACAGAGGGTATGCTTCACCCCACTGGCTCCTCAGCTAAGCACAGACATGGGATTCCTGAGGAGCGTGCAGCTGACCTGCTGTGTTTAGGCCGAAGACCGCGAGACAGCCTCCTGTCTCCTGCAGTCAGCTTCCTGCTGCGCCAGTGCGATACAGGATGGGAAAGCAAACAGGAGGGCTAACTCGCTCAATCAACAGGAGATCTTAAGAACGACACCATTTTCAGGTGAAGGGGACTAACAGTGAAAGCAGAGGTGGAATGTGGCAAACTGTGACCTTGAAGCAAACAGTAGGCTTACAGAAATGCAGTCAAGAATGTATAACGCATGCAAGAATCTGCACTTTTTTTATGAGCGGAAAGGTTTTTGAAAATGATGCTCACTGCTCGAAACGATCTGGTCAATTAGATAACCCCGTCACGGGATTCTCAATTAATTAATTGAAAATCACGTTCCAACGGTAAGATGAGAGCTAATATTTGATCGGGTCTGCCCATGAACTGCAGCACTGCCTTTGCTTGGTTGGGTAACAGTCAAGAAAAAATAAAAACTCAAAGAGATCTGCAGCCAATTTGCATTTGAATCCATTTGCCATTCCTAATAGTCCAAGCTAATCTACTTAGAGAACACGTCTTGGCGATCTGCTGCTCTGGAACAGAGCAGTGCTAGAACAGGCTGGACACACAGGTACACACACAGCCATTACACGGCTACAATGCGTGAAATTAGAGGCCGGTACAGGGAATACTATATGCAGTCTTGCATGTCAAATGAGAACTTGCCACAAGCAATAAGGGAGGAGAAGCCATTCACTGATATTAAGCGAAGAAGCATCATTTTATGCGAAACCTTTCCCTCTGCTATTGAAGCCCAGTGAAAAGCTGAATATAAGACTCTTGAAAAGGTAATCACAAATAACTGAGCACCAGTGATGGCGAAGGGTAGGGTGGCCCAGACCTTATTCCTCATGCCCTTGACGCCTATTCATCATTGCAGCTGAGTTCCCTGTCATTTCACTCATTAATATAATGACTATTATGTTAAATTTGACCTTTCATTTCTTCCCCATCTTTTAAGCTGATGTAGATTTCAAGGTAATTCTAAAACTATAGGTGACCTGAAACCCCCAACCAGTGTAATTAATAAGTTAAAATAGGCAGAAAACAAAAGGTCTCATTAAGTGTGTGATCTGTACTCTTAAAAGCAGGCTTCTGGGAGGATAATCTCCAAGATTGCTTTTGATGTTAAAGGTGCTAACGCAAACACCCGAGCTTTCCAAAGCAATAAAGACACATGTGGTGGTTGTCACTCATTTTGACAGCCTCTAATTCAGGGCCTGCCACTATGATAAAAACCTTGAATTTAAAGCTTGGTTTTGGGAGAGAGAGAATCTTACATTATTACTTCAGTTTAAGTGTCAGCTGAGCAAAAGAGCATCCAGTCTGAACGAAATCTAGACGTCGGCTAAATCCCCAGCTGATCCTTTTTTTTTTATTTCTGGATGAGCAGCGTTCTGTTGGGCTCAAAGGGCTTGCCACGTCTTAACACAGTTTGCGCAACCGGAGAGCGAGAAAACCACAGGAGAGAGACGTCTGAGGCTTACCGGCAGATACGAAGAATATGCCGGCGCTGAGGATGACGTTGTGTCGGCTCTTGTAGAACTCACTGGCGGCCACACACAGGCCCCCCATGAACAGCAGCCCCACGCTGAGGATGGGAAATATGCTCGATGCCCTCACAGCCCCTGGCAGGAACACAGACGCGCAGAGAGTAAACAGCACTGCCTGCTCAGTGTACACCACGCACTTAAAAGAGCTCAAAACACCTACTTAATATTCGGCATGTTTAAAATGTTCATTTCACTTAAATGCTTCTCAGTACAGTCCTACTTCAGTTTTGTTTTTTTGTCTAGGTGCCTTTCTGCCATTGCTCACAGTCAAATCAAATCAATATTAATTGGTGATCAGCGTTTAGAAAATGTGCGAGAGGCAATAGTTTATGCAAACGTCTATGGCCTTGTAAAACATTGCATCTGTCAGATTTGCCAGACGAAATGGTACAGAAGCGAAAAATAGTCAACCGCTTCAAAACACTATGATCCCAGACATCAGAACTCCATCATAACCTACTGTATACTGTATAATCAATAACTGAGTCATCAGATCAATAACACAAACTGTGCATAAACAGCTCATTTTCACCTCTGTTGCATTTCAGCTTTCATTAAAACCCAGCTGAGGAAGCCAGCTAACAGTCTGTCACAACTCTATTTAAGAAGGAAGACTGTGCTGCTGAGAATTCTGGGACCACCTGTATGTGTCCAACACCTGTTCCTCTGTCAGGATCACATTCGCAGAGCTGTCTGCTTGAGAGAAAAGAGCCAGCATGCACTGCATAGTCAATATTTGTAATATGCCAGCCTCTTGGGTGGGCACGCTGTACATCATTATGAAATGTGGCATTTAAAAAAAAAAAGAGTCACACAGCATGCTCAAGTGTGCCTGCTCATGTGTGACTGTATACTACATCTCCTGCTTCAAATTACTTTTAATTAACTTCAACAAAACCGCCTCCCTGTCTGATCTTTTATTTCAGAGGAGCTTCCTAAACCTGTTGCTCTCCTGATTCTGCAATCGAGCTGCTTCTCAGCAAATAGATACGTCAAACCATCGCTGACATTTCTGATTTAAATGTTACATGTGCTGCATAATGGAATGCTGATGAAGGGGGTCTTCTCTCCCCGCAGGCACTCATCAGCTCTGAATAACCGGAGCCTCACAAACCACAAACAGCAAATCAGAGCTGCAGTCTAAATACACACACATGCATTTCCTCTTCAATTAACTGCTCGCTGATTACAGCAAGATAACATACGTGGGGTATGCGAGATACATGTTGGACACCATGTCCCACGGACAGTGTGAAATTATCCATTATGCACACAGAAACAATGTTAAGACATCTCGAGGCATGTTTTTTTTTAATAAAATATTGGTATAAAAATGAAAAACTTTCTAAATTGCACCTTCATCATCGTGACATGGAAACACATTTCTGATAGAAGGGGAATGCATAAAAAAACGTTATAAATTTTAAAAAAAACTACCTAGAATTCCAAATGACACAGATTTCAAAACAGCCATGTGGGCAGAACACAAAACACACACACACCTCTGTAGCTGAAGCTTAATTGCTATTAATATAATGCACGCTACAGCAGAACACGATGCTGCAGGGCTCTCCTTCAGTTCCAGTATTGACAGCATACATGCGCTGGACGTTATGTCCTTTCACATTTCACGAGTGTGCAGAGCATCTTGACTGCGGACAGCTACGCACTGCGCAGCTTTGCTCTGGAAGGTTGAGAGGAAGGACCTCGCCCCTCGTCCCTCATTAAAATGGCGCCTTCCCAGGCTGCTGCACGAGCTTGTGTGCAAAAATGGGCGAGTCCACCTGTCCCAGTTCACCCAGGCACAGCCTGCTGGACCTGCTGTTGGATTACCATCCCTGATCTTTTGACCTCATGGCCCTGCAGAAACTACTCAGGACAACAGAGCTAGGGCGCTCAACCCATAAAATTAGCATTTTAAAATGAACAAATAGAATTAGCCGTGCAGTGGCCCTGTGGCTCAGGATCTGCACCTGTGGCAGGAAGGTTGCCGGTTTGTATCCTGTGGCCGGCAGAGGAATCCTAGTCCATTGGACCCCTGAGCAAGGCCCTTAACCCCAACTGCTCCAGGGCTGACCCTGTGCTCTGACCCCCAGCTTCTCTCCCTGTCTGTGTGTCTCATGGAGAGCAAGCTGGGGTATGTGAAAAGAAATTCCTAATACAAGAAATTATACATTATCTTATTTTCCCGTAACTGTATAACAATGATCGTTTTCGAACAATCAACTTTTTTCTTTCGATTGCCTTTAGTTTATTTTTAACAGCACATTTAGAACGCAAGGAATTTCCCCGTTGAGCTCCAAGGAGACCTGTCTGCGAGCACAAAGGAGCATCTCCTTCAGCGTTAGATCAGTACCTGCTCAGAGGATCTGTCACCCTTCAGCGAGTAAAATACCTTGTTCTCTATTTCTCTGTCACACGGCTTTGCTCTTTATGGGGTCTGCTCGTGGTGTTTTATAAGCTTGTTACCGACGACATCGCTCCCCAGAGACCATGCACACGATCAAGCCCAACTTCAGAGGCACCTCATTTGAATGCAGTCATAATGCTGCCAGCACAACACCTTCACAGAGACCAGGCGAGACGCTATAGCAACAGTCAACCTCGCTCATGACGAATGCGTCTCTAAAAGAATATTTCATCTGCATAATTCAGAATTCCACACACTTGTAAAAGTAGAAGTCGGAGCATGTCTTAGGGAAAGGTTTGGGGTATAGGTTGCAGTCGTGAGGTATCTGTTACATGTTCTGGAAAATAGTTCATAAAAGGAGCACAGATATAAGTTTTGCATTCCTGGAAGGTTGTCTCTGAAAAGGTGTTGTGCTGGCGTTTCTCGATGGGTCTGATCCTTGTAAGGGCTCTGCAGCTCACATGTAAGAAAGAGGTGGCGGTCTGAGTCCAAATTCTGACCATGCGGGCTCTCCGATTGCCTGGCCAGGACCTCTACAGTGCACTGGTTTGGGATCCGGCCTTGTATTTTGTATACTTAAGTATAGGGAAGACGAGCGTTTTGTAGCAATTAGTTCTTGGCTGGAGAATGACGTAGCGTTTCTTCTCCCCCTGACTGGCGAGCACTCACGCAGCACCCCGAGTTCGAGATTGAGACCTCTTTCCTCTTCTGGAATTCTCTTCTGGGTGAGTGCCATGGCGTTCCGGCTTGCGATTCACTTCTTCAGTGAGACGAGTGACATCCGCCGTGCGGCGCTTGTCGTCTGCCAGCTTCCCCCACGCTCCCGTTGCCAGCGCGAGACGGCTTGGCGCGGGGACAGAGCCACTCGTGCGCAGGGCGCTCGGAGACGACTCGTGTTCTCCACAAGCCTTCCTCACCGTTTTCCCCCATGTAAAGAGTAACAGGACTGCGCGGCAGCAGATATATCCCAAAGGACTTCTTCACTTTCAAATCAAATCAAAACAAAGTTTATTTATCAAATGCACAACAGCGGGCAGCAGCAGTAGTTGCTGGCAATGAAATGTCTTTCCTGCGAGCTCCCAAGAATCACAAAATTGAGGTTACGTTTTTTTAAATTGAATAAAACTCAATATGAATAGAGCTGCCATGTGTCTATGTGCTATGTGCCCATGGTGTATGCAATATATACAAGTAGTGCAGTTATGCTGAATACAATGAAAACTGTGTGTCTATGTAGCCATTAATGGCTACATTACCATCTTTGACTGCATATTTCATTTGCTTTTCATGAGCATAGTGCTTTCCTTGCTCTTTTTCTACCCAAGGCCTTCTGTAGGCAGAGCTTCGAAATGTTGGGAAGTTGTGAGCTCAAAACGCCGGAGGGGGAAAGAAGAAAAGATTAAGATAAACCGTTTCTTGCACACGGGGATTCTGGCTGCTGCTGTCAGTGTCACCGACCCTGACATTTCCGTGAACAGCGATTCCATCCGCATTTGAGAGAGTGACAGCCGCACAAAGCCACACGCAGACCCATACAGAATGCAAGAAATGAATCCTCATATCCTAGACTAACATCTGTTTTCGCCGTTGCAGAACCATACTCGTCCCCTGCGAGTGCGGGTCTCGCAGAGCAGATTAAAGGGCACTTCAGCTCCAATTTTCAGACCGCGGCTTGCTGGGAATTTGCTGTCCTGCTCCTACCGGTCCTATAAAAATCAGCTGTAGCCGGGAGAGCCATTCCTTTGTTCATTTCCCTTTTGTGGGCGCAAAGACGCCAGCAGATGTCCCTGCTCCAGAGAGAGAGAGAGAGCGCTGTGTCAGGCCGGGTCATCAGAAGCAGCACGTAGAGCAGCCCAGCAGGGCCTACAGCGATGTGACATCAGCAGCCACGCAGCTAACATCACAGCTAACCCACTGGGGCGCACGACAGCAGCAGGACGAATAGGAACAGACAAGCAGGCCTGGGCTTATAAAGAGCAAACACATACATGTAGACGGCCCTGTTTGAGTGGAGGCAGCAACACCCACATGGGTGGGGGGGAATTATAGTTATTACTCCATTTTTGCTCTCCTATCTGTAATTACATTATTACAGCGTGTTAGAGGTGGCAGACTCCAGCCTTTGAGGAATACGCCATCTGGCGTCTCTATTGTATAGAGAAAGTCAAATATTGGTGGAGGGACTATATTTAGAATTGTATTCAGACTGCTCTACAGCCGATGACTTCAAGCTGCACAGCGTGGAAAGTCAAGAGCCCGCAGGAACGTGGAATGGCTGCTGTCTTCCCTGGTCTTAAAAAGCCAAAATGTCCTCCCAGGATGTGATGGCAGTGTACAGAAATCATTCACCTTAAAGGTCTTGGGAACCAGTCTCGGGCTCAGTTGAATATTTTTCCCCCCTCTGTTTCATGCAAATACATTGTGTATTTCCTGTAATGAGTAAAAAAAAAAATCGGCGATTTTATTTATAAACAAGGTGATCACTCCACAGGGGAGCAGCACACTCCATTCCTATGGAACTTGACCCAGGTTCTGTGCCAGTCACTGTCAACATATCTCAGAAGGGTATGGTCCAGGGCTTTCAGAGACCACTTCTTTGCTTGGAGAGTTGGGGAGTATCTGCAGGCTTCCTCGGATTCTGAAGACTGAGCAGAAAAGGGAGCTGGAAGACCTGTACTAGGAAGAAACCCCCCCCACACACACACACCAAAAGGTGATTTGATCACCTCTCCCCAGACGAGTGCTCATGAGGGGGGATATGCGCGGCAGGGAAACTTGAACTCACGCAGTAGGTACTCTGCAGCGTCCTGCTCATAATCGGCATCTTCTGGAAAGTGGTCGATTTTCTTACACACACCTCTGAACGTCCCTGCAGAGACCAGAATGGAGACAGAGTTACGATTAGCGCTCGGCGGCGATCGAGCGCCCACTTCACTAATGACGCTGCAAGCTCTGGGCATGTGGTATGTGGGTTACATTTTGCAGGTGTGTGTGTGTGTGCGCCGTTCTTAAACTCTCAAAACCGAAGTCAAGCTTAATCCGAAGTGAGTGTACGGAATAAGGGTGAGAAATTAACAAAATTATACTTGTGCTGCTCCAGCTTAGCAAGGGCAACATTAATGATTTAGCCCATCTATATGTGGTGTATATTTCTTTTCCCCATTACCCACACGACAGTTACATTAATAATTCTTTTCAATTTATGACAGCCAATCAAGTTTACATTACTGGGCCATTCGAAGGCTTAAAAGCATGCCAATTGTCATGTTAAAGAACCATCTCTCTCTGTGGTGTTCTACCCATTCATTCATGACATTAGGGTAATGAAGTCGCTGTAGAGTACATCAAAGGAATCAGAGAGCACTGCATGAAGCTCATAAAATCTAGATATCTCCAAGGACGGCACGTGGGATTCTTCCGAGAGGGACGGCACAAAAGTCAGACCTCTCGGAATCACTGCCATTTCACGGGTTGCACGATCCGAATGTACGGGGAAACGAAACCACAAAAGCAGAAATGGCACGCATTTAAAATTTGGAATTTATCTGCATAGATTTTTTCAGAGATATGTCCTCCTCCTCCGCCTTTCTTTCATTTTATGCAAAGCAAGCTTTCGGTACACATAAGAGAGAATATGGATGGTCAATAAAACAAGGTCTCGGGATCAAGTTTGATGAATATAGTTCCATTTTTGTGGGCTAAACCTTCAGGAATGGTTTTAACAGGCAACAAACATTGCTCCCAATCTGCTGTTTCTACGGGCACTCATCAGGGATGCCCAATTTCACCTTCTCTATTTGCCGTATTGTGGGAACCTCTACCTCAATCTACCTCAAATCCATCCTACATTTTTAATTCAATTCCTCTTTAATAATACTCTGCCTTCTAGAACTCTTTGTTCAGCTTTTATATATATATAGTTACATGCAGATAATGTCTCTCAATCCTTAAATCATCTGCTAACTGTTTTCAATTAGTTCAAGGCTTTATCAGAGTATACCATTAATTGGCCAAGTCCTCAGTGCTTGGATTGTAGAAACCGTTAAGATAAAAAGGTCTTTAAAAACTTGAAAACCCAGTGTGAGACTGAAGGAATAAAAATGTCCCGTTTAAAATGTGAATCGCACACAGTTTAATGAGATAATATTCATAAAATGGAACGTTTGATCTAAAAACAGGGCTCCACCTCCACAGAGAACAGAACGCACCATTCCTACTCAACATGACCCAGTACAAGTCTGCAGTCGGCCACTGCTGCAACATTTCAGATACCCTGGCATGGTTAAACAGGTGGACTCATTTCCCTAAGTCCCTGCAAGCGTGCATCTCCACAATACAAATGAACACACCTCTTTGTTTACATTGTTTTAGTGTTAAAATTCCTCTTTCTACCCCTTTTGGCTTGTGGGATATTTTGTATTCTTGGGTTTAGAAATTGAAATGGAGAAGGAAATAGATAACATTGGTAGTGGTGGAGGGGAGTCCCCATTACCTGTAAAGCGCTTTGAGTGGAGTGTCCAGAAAAGCGCTATACAAGTGCAAGTAATTATTATTATAACATTTTCCATTCTACAGTGTGTGCAGTATGCTTGATTTTATTGTGATGCTTTTGTGTTCATTGTTCATGTGGTTGAAACCTGACATTCCTACACCTTGGTGTCCACTTAAAGGAAACCTGTACTCGCCATACTGTAGATACCTCAATTCCTCGTGTATTTATTAGAAATTGTAGAGTTTGAGCCCCATCATGACACAATAAAAACTCGGTGCTGATAAAAAGGAGAACTGCAATGCCATTTTTCATGTTTTGGGGTTTGAAAGAATCAGCCAGGTATGCACAGAGCCATATAGAGCAATTCAGAACATGGCAACAAAATCTCTGGTGTGGTGAAGTGGCCTTATTGCACTGTAAACAAGCGGGCTTGTGAACACATCTCTTTTAATCCAATAGAAACATGACTCTCGACTTCCAGATGGTTTTGCAGACAAATACAACTCACTTGTTAACTCTGCAGGCAGAGGACGTTGTGACATTTCTGTGGCATAATGTCTGCTGCACAACCCATACTTTAGTCGTTACTAAAGGGCTGCGTCACGTCGCAACTCGTGACAACTCGAATGGCTGTTTGCCACAAAATGGCGACGACTTACAGCACTTTCACAAAGTTCATGACTTTGTGAATAATGTAAAAAAAACGAATTAATTTTGTTACCAAGATTTAATAACGGGGCAGAGAAATATGGGACTGCAGTTCCCCTTGAACTAAATCACAGGAGACATGTGCATTCTCCTATTTTTCATAAGCATAACAAGCTTACAGACAATGCTCTTTTCTCTTTTTCACACTGGACCGACAAGAGGATTAAGATATTCTTACTCAGGTGGGTCTCTGCTTGTCCTGGGACAAGCACAAGACACAAGACACCCTTCTATACTTAGGACTATGCTCTACAACGTGTACCTACGCCATCTCACAGGGTTAAACAAACAGGTTTATTACTGGCTTCGTGTAAAATGCAGTTACTACTGGGTACAGGGGGTTGAAGGCTACATGAATTACCTGTGATACAAACTCCTCCAAAAACCCTCACCATGCACCAAATAATGCACTTACATTTCTTTCACAGGGCATATTTGACCACCTGCTGATGATATCTTACATCTTATAAAGAGCATTTCCAGTCCAATGTGCTCTCTCCGTCAGGGGGTGCCTGAGACGTGTTATTACAGGTCTAGGGAGTATGTGAACGTTGTGAAATTCTGGAAACAGTCTTTTCTTTTAGTAGTAGTAGATCCCAGCATCGCAACCAGATATTTCTGTCTGCAATTGTGAGCTGTGCTGCTTGATACCGACTCAGACACCCCTTATGTAGAAAGTGTCTCCAGTTCTCAGTGTTAAATGCGTGTCCCCAGAGTCCGCATTGGTGTCCTCTGGTCCTTCGAGCCCAGGGATGTATCTCCTGTGGTCTGGTTTCAGATCAACACTATGGTTTTTGCTGCATGGTAATCAAAATTACATAAAATTAAATGGGGGGTCTTACCATTGCATGTGCACAATTTTAACGTATGCTTTGATTTAGATTATACACCTTTAACTATGCATTCCGATTGCTTTTATATTAGTTCTCCACAGAAAAATTGATATGATGGAAAATTCTTCCTCAGTGGAGCAGGACAGTCTCATGCAGATTCAGTTTTATTGAGCTCAATAAGGACAAAGATAAGGACAAAAATAAAAAACTGCAAGGGTCTACTAGCTCATATATACAAAACACAGGCTCATAAAGACATTTGTTTCACACGTCGAATGTTATGCTTTAGTACGCATTTGTCCTGTCCTTCCCTATGTGACAGGAGTTGGTTTCACACTTTCAGTGTTAGTCATGACATTAAAGTGATTACGTCTACTCTTAACACCCTGTAGAAGGAAATTAGTTGCTGCAAATGTTAAAGGAAGTCACCTTTATTCTGTCTTGCTATACCTTTAGAAAAAGGCTACATTTACAGATCCCATCAAAGACCCAAATACCTTCCACAATGTGGTTCAGTAGTAATATTGTATTACTGGATATATGCAACTTACATACTGTCTATGTCTCAATGCATGATGTATCAGCAAATACCAAAGCCGCTTTCACAAGTAGGTTCTTATCGCTTGGCTCTTGTGTTCAGTTTGTTTTTGCTACCTGCATTTGTCTGAATTAAATGTGCCATGTGATTGCCCACTTTTGAATACTATAATTTGTCATGATTTTCAATTGCATCTTCTGTACTGCTTGCTAAGCCTACTATAATCGTAATCTGCAAATTTGACTAGTTTACTAATTTAACCAGAACCCAGATTACTGACACATTAGGAAGAGCAAAGGTCCTAGTACAGATCCCTGTGGTACTCCCCTAATTACATCACCTCAGATAAGAGGTAAGAGGTGAACGGTGACATCTCTTATCGGTAGTCTTTTTTTCTAGCCATTACCAAGTTCAGTCCAAATGCACTCATCACTTTGAATTCTTACTGCTTGCAGTATAAATTAATGCCCATTTAAGAATTAATATTTTTGAGAACCTTTATGAAAAATCTTCTGAAAATCTAAATATTGTATTATATGCTCTGTATATCCACTGATCCAGTTTACTGCTTAAAGATGTCTAACATGTCAATGGTCCCTTTGACGTGTGTAATAGCAGTGTTTTTTAACCAGGTCCACAGAGACACAGGCAGAGGTTGCCTTCAAGTCCCTAGACACTAAGAAAATCTACTCGGTCCAAACATCTGGCACAGCCATTCACAATTAGATTGTTTTACGTCGTTTCACCAGAATGCGTTTTAATACTTAAGCAACATTTGAACACACGAGACGGATGAACATACACAGAGTGCTCAATGAGGAGGGACAGCAGTCTGTCCGAGTGCTGTTCATGTCCTTCTGCAGTGTTTCATCTGGAAACCCAAGGAGTTCCGATTCATTTATGGGTGATGTCAAACGAGTAAAGAACTTGTATTTGGTATAAAGTAACACTGCTGCATGCCTGAGTACAATAGTGCTGTACATGTGCAGGTATGTGTGCACTTCCTTTTTATTGAATGACACTGCTGCCTGCTTTTCCACATTGCTGCAGCCTCTGCACAGAAACCACCACACAGTGTTCCTCAGGGATGCCACTTGCACTGCAATGGACCGTCTGCACTGTGTGCAATCTCCCCCCCTAACACAACAGCCCAGTGGAGCCGTCAGAGAGACAGGCAATCTGCTGTCAGAACAGACATGATGAATTCTACTCCTGCCTTGTAGTGAGAACTTCCTGAATGAACTCAAATATCCCGGCACCTGCACCGTACAGACATTGCAAAACCATGTATTGGTTTC